TCAACAACAATATCATAATACAACTGATCAAAATGAAAAAAATTATAATCGATTTACTGCATTAGAACAAATAGATACATCAACAGATATTGAATCAAATTATGATGATGAAACAAATGATGTTTTATCAATAGCAGAATATGATATTGCTGATCACAATGAAAAAGAACAAATGAAACAAAACAAAATGAATCGAATAAATGATAAAAATAATAATAATAAAAAACTTAAACGGCGAATTAATTTAGAATCCAATCAAATAATGCGTTACATGCAAGATAATTCATCAGTTATTGTGGATGGTCGTGGTAATCAAGCTTATGTATTAGCTACAGCTCCAATATATGATAAATGAGTTCGAAATAATTATGAACTTCAAGTTTGGCAAACACATTTTAAAATGGGCACATAAGATAAACATTGGGCAAAAGAAGTCATTACACGTACAAAAAAAACATAATGATGTAACAAATAGTCGATTTATCTCGAAAAAGGATCAATCGATTAACAAGTAATATAGCTCAAGCAAGTGCTACAATCACGAATCTACAAGTTCAATTAAGTACTTATTGGACTCAAACTACAGCTGGTGCAATAAGTCCAATAACTGCAACAACTTCATCAGCATCAGCAAATACTGGTCGAATTCGTGATGCAGTTGATCGACTGGAAAAAGCAATTTTAGAATATATTCAACATTGTACACAACATGTAAAAAGCATGGCTGAAAATAAAATAAAATTAGATTAGGACAAGTACAAATAGAAGAATATAAAGTATTAGAAGATTTCAAAGAAATAGCTACTCTAAATCAATGGAATATTGATTTGATGTTAAAACCAAAAATGAAACAATGGAGTACAAAAAAATACAAATTATTTTACAGCTACCAAACGTATAGAATATGATTTACCTCCAAAATTTATTTCAAATGCTAATTTGACATTTAAAATTGATGAATCAATAATAAGTAAAGTAGAAGCTCAAATAGTATATGATCAAATGCGTCAATTAACTAAAGAATATCGTTTTCAAGCAATGTCTTTATATTTACAAGCAATAACTCATGAAAAACAAATATTAAAAAATGAAATTGAATTTGTTATGAAAGATTTTTTACAAGAAAATGATGAAGGATTTGATATTGAACTTGATGCTGGTTATATAGCATTTAAACATTATAATGAATTACGTGAAAAACGTTTTAATTTCGAAGCTGAACAATCGATCTATTTTTTAGAAGAACAGCGAGTCGAGGGCGAAATCAACGAGCATTAAGAAGAAATTGTTGCCCCGACTCTTACACGATCGTTGGGCGATGATTTCTCGCTCCAACTATAATTAATGAAGCCCAAGCAAAATTAACCGAGGAAGAACATCAATTATTAAAATTAGGTCCTCGGTTTATTTATAATGATCCAAAAGCGGCTTCTCGACGATGTACAACTGAGTTGGCTATGTTAAAACGTAAAATTGAAGCACAATTTTTCAAAAAAAAAAGTGAGCCCCGATCGATCAGTCGAACAATTTATAGCCGAACTGGATGTTATATTAAAAAATTTACATGATACATCTATTAGTAAAATAAATCGAAAATATAAACAAGAAAGTGAAATAATTTCATATGATAATTTATTAGAAACGATTCAATTGAATCAATATCAAATTACTAAATGTCCAATTACTACTGAAAAAAAGAAAAATTATGGTAGATTGGTCAAACGGTTATAACCCAAACTTCGTTCAACTAGTATAGTTCTTCAAAAAGCAAATAAATCTAAAGTTTTTCATTTAGATAAATTACAAGATTATCACAAAAAATCTGATGAATATATGGAAAAAATTGAAGCGTATTAATGTTTACACCAGAATGATCCATTACCAAGTTTAATTGACCGGATAAATAAATATTTATTAAATTTAAGACTAACTAATTGAATTACACAAAAACAATATGAACAATTAGGCATTAAATCAAATGAAGTGGAATTAGCTCATCTTTATTATCTACCAAAAGCTCATAAACTTGGCACTCCACTTCGTCCAATTATTTCGGGTCTCAAACATCCAACTATAAGAATATCAAAATTTCTTGACGAATTACTTCGACCATTATTTGATAAAATAACATCAAACACAACAGTTACTTCTGGAACTAAAGTTATTAAACAATTGCATGAATGGTCAAAACGAAACATAGGTCAAGAAACCTTCATATGTACAATGGATGTTATGGATCTTTATACGATGATACCCCAAACAGAAGGTATATTGTCAATTAAAAAACTGTTAGATTATTTTAAAATAAAAAACAATTGGTAATATAAAAGCTGAAACAATAATTAGATTATGTCGATTCATAATGCAAAATAATTATTTTTCTTAGAATGGTAAATTTTTTCATCAAGTACGTGGTGGTGATATGGGTTCTTCATTAACATTAACAAGTGCTAATTGTTATATGTTCTTTTATGAACGAGATATTGTTAAACAAGTGAACAATAGCAATGGACTCTACTTACGATATATTGATGATATTTTCATAATTATTAATTGGCCGATTCAACATCTTTCTAAACAAATTAATCGATGGAATGAATTAGACTTGAATATAAAATTAAAAGCTCAAGTTGGTCATTCAACAAACTTTCTTGACTTATACATAGAAATTAAAATGGTGAATTATTTATAAAAGTTTATCACAAACCATCGTATGAACCATATTATTTACCATTTAATAGTATTCATCTAATACATATGAAAATGAATATTCCATATGCTATGTTAATTCGTGCGATTAAATATTGTTCAACATTTGAAACATATTTAAATGAACGTGAAAAATTAAGAATGACTTTATTATTAAATAAATATCCTGGTGAATTTCTAGAGAAACAATTCAGCAGAGTATTTCAAATACATATTTTGATGCAGCCATTATCGACAAGCGATTATAAAACATTATGAGAGCAATTAATTGATTTATAGATAAAAAAGAAAAAATTCCAATTGATTATGGCAAAACAATGTTCATTCATTTTACATACTGTTTCAATATGAAAACATTTCCGACTAAATTTCATGCACTTTGGAACAAATACTTTATAGAGTCTCCAATAAATGAAATAAAACCGGTCTTAGGTACTCGTAATGTCAAGAATTTTACAACAACAACTAATACGTAATAAATAATATTCATTCAATCTGATTATGTTAAAAATTATAATTAATATTTCTGGTTATAAGAATTAGAATGACTGGTTATATAAAAATAAAAATGATTGGTTATATGTTATTATGAAAATCTGGTTATATATAAGATTAAAATGACTGGTTATCTACATAATCTTATAAAAGTCTTTTGTTTTTGAAATATGAATATAAATTAAGTAATAAGAATTGAAGTTTGAATGTGTGGCTTACAACAAAGAATTATATTCATTACAATATAAGAAATTTGATCAAAATAAAATAGCCTTACAATATATGAAATTGTATTAAAATAAAATAGGCACGTTTATTGTACAAAGGAGTGATTTTAATGCAAACAACTTTACAAAAATTAAAATTAGAAGATAACTGATTATATACGTAATCGCACAAGCATATTAAATTCGAATACATTAAAAATGAAGTAATAAAAATTAAATTAGAGTATGTAGCTGACAAAACAAAGAATTATATTCGTTACAATATAAGAAATTTGATCAAAATAAAATCGGTTTACAATATATGAAATTAAATTAAAAGAAAATAGGTTCATTTATTGTAAAAAAACAGTGATTTTAATACAAACAACTTTATAAAAATTAAAATTAGAACATAACTGATTATATACGTAATCGCAAGTCATATTTTAAAAAATTCGAATAGATTAAAAATGGAAACTTGTCAATATTGCACTCTTTTTCTTCGGAGCTTTTGCATTATTCCTGGTCTTATCGATTTTTTTCGGTTTTTCGAGAAGTTGCATTTTATCTTTTTTTTTTCTCTTCGTGGTCTTGTTTATTTTTTTCAAGAAGTTCCTTTTCTTTTTTCTCTTGGTGGTCTTTCTCATGTTTTCGAGAAGTTGCATTTTTTTCTTGGTGGTCTTGTTGTTTTTATTTGTTTTTACACAATATTTTTTTTTTATCTTGTGCTTAAATATGTAATGCAGAGCCCTAATGAGTGTTTTAATATTTCAATAAAGAACATGAAACGCATTGTCAAATTACAATCTGCATTTCTTAAAATTAATTCTTTTGGCACAAGTCACAAATAATAAAAATTTTTTTTAATTTTTTAATTTTTCCAAATCTCGACAAAATAATCGATTGCTGAAAAGCAAATGTGAAGTGCAAGTAGATTGTATTTATCTTTTCTTCAAAATAGATAGGTCAGTCTGTTTTTCGATTGACTGAAGTGAAATAGAAAAGAAACTTTCTAGTTCTCTATTCTAGATATGGACATCAGAGATGCTCACAGAGTCACTTGTTGGCAACTTTTCTTTATCTCTTCTAGAGATTATGATGTCCTGCATGTATCGTTTACTACTTTTATTGATTTTTTCTAAGGGTTGAGTGACTATGGGTATGAACGTATGTGGATATAGAGAAAGACATCCACATCCCTTTATTCTGATGAAAATCCAATTCGAGTAAATGATTTCGTTGTTGAACAACAACACGTTTTGTATACAGAATGCAAAAGCAAGGACGTAAAAAAAAATGTAAACAACGCCAGTCATAAAAAAGAGAGATAGAAAAATATCATTGGATCAGTTATTCAAACAGTCATTGTCAATTGAAATTATACAAGGAAGTATCATTGTTCTCATAGACGACATTGGTCAAATGGAAGACATGAATATACTTAAAGTTATGAGCTAAACGACATAAATATAGGTGAAGAGAACACATGGAACATTTATTTTTTTTGATTTGAATGATTTACCTGATGAAATTCTTATGATTATTCTGAAAAATTTGTATCATACTGAAGTCTTCTATTCTTTAATTAATGTTAATCAACGACTCAATACAATGGTACATGATCCAATTTTTACAGGTTATTTAACATTGATGATATCTTACTCTAATGATTTATCTTCTCGACTTACTGATACAATACTTAATCGATTTTGGCTGCAAATTTTACTTCAAATTCATCATAAAATCGAATTTCTCAATCTTGAATTCTAATCTATGAAAGGTATTCTTCTTTCAACAAATTATCCTAAGTTATGTGGACTTGGTTTATATAATCTTGCATCAGAAACGACTTGAGATCTCTTTATTGGTAAGATTTTGTGGAACTCACGTATGTTTTTGAAGAAAATAATGAGTGTAAGTTTTAAGTTCGAGGTTGGCGGCTCCCCCCCCCCCCCCCCCCCCCCCCCCATGCCCCCATTACAGACACATAGCAACCGGAAAGAGAACATTACAGACATACTCCCCATTACAGACACCCCACCATTACAGACCTTGGCAACTTCGTGAAAAAAAAATTCTGTTCGAAATTGAGAGATAAAAATATAGCATTTTCTAATAATCGATTATCTTTAGAAAAGAACTATTATCTTTTGGAGATTTTAAATATTGGGTATTTTGTCATTAGTATAAGGAAACCAAAGGAGATATGTAAGTTCCACATTTCAGCCCCAAAGAGGCTGCGCTAACAAGCTTTTTTTTCTTCAATTAATTAATGAAAAAAAATAAAAATATTAGAATAATTAATCTGAATATGTACTATGTATAATGTAAAGTTAATTATTAATGATGTTTTCTTAATGTCACCCAATCTTGTCACTAGTATTTATCGATGAATATTAATTTGAAGAAAATACAAATATTTATTAAAAATAAAAAATATTATTTAAATGAAAGATTTTTTTCTATTATGTTGAAGTTAAATTCCTTAAACATGAATTCTCAATGTAGAACATATAATATAAATTAAATGATTAACAAGGGAACATTTCCAAGTGATACCCGCCGTTTCAGTTCATATTGTGCCCAAAGTAGATCTCGGTAAGACTAGAGAAAGCCTAAAAGGGTTCGTGCCATTGCGCCTTTAGAATCGAGTTTTGCCTTATTCACTGAATTTTCGGCCCTTCCTGAGGGTACTGATCGAAAAATCAAATTACGAAGTTTCCATCTGAAATTT